AAAGAGCAACTGTGACAACTCCCACTTTGTGTGTGATTCTTTATCTTTTAACTCCACGCCTCTTGCCAAGACCCTCGCATTTACTTCTCTTACAACCCCATCTATAAATATATTAAACAACCACGGTGACATCACACATCCTTGTCTAAGGCCTACTTTTACTGGGAAATAATCTCCCTCTTTCCTACATACTCTAACCTGAGCCTCACTATCCTCGTAAAAACTCCTCACTGCTTTCAGTAACCTACCTCCTATACCATACACCTGCAACATATGCCACATTGCCCCCCTATCCACCCTGTCATATGCCTTTTCCAAATCCATAAATGCCACAAAAACCTCTTTAGCCTTATCTAAATACTGTTCACTTACATGTTTCACTGTAAACACCTGGTCCACACACCCCCTACCTTTCCTAAAGCCTCCTTGTTCATCTGCTATCCTATTCTCCGTCTTACTCTTAATTCTTTCAATAACAACTCTACCAGGTATACTCAACAGACTTATCCCCCTATATGATTTTTGCACTTTCTTTTGTCCCCTTTGCCTTGATACAAATGAATTATGCATGCTCTCTGTCAGTCCCTAGGTACCTTACCCTCTTCCATACATTTATTAAATAATAGCACCAACCACTCCAAAACTATATCCCCACCTGCTTTTAACATTTCTACCTTTATTCCATCAATCCCAGCTGCCTTACCCCCTTTCATTTTACCTACTGCCTCACGAACTTCCCCCACACTCACAACTGGCTCTTCCTCACTCCTACAAGATGTTATTCCTCCTTGCCCTATACATGAAATCACAGCTTCCCTATCTTCATCAACATTTAACAATTCCTCAAAATATTCCCTCCATCTTCCCAATACATCTAACTCTCCATTTAATAACTCTCCTCTCCTATTTTTAACTGACTGGTCTAATACACAGTCATAAATGGGCTGACATTATTTACTCAATTATTACAATAATACAGTAGTCTGCATACCAGTAAATCTTCTATTTTTTTTTTGTGAATAAAAATTCAAAATGGAAAGCAAGAGTAATATAAGAAGGGCCTAGAGATGTAACTAATGAACAGAGAAAATGTTACTTTTGTGCCAGGAATGTCTGCATTGTTTATTCTGGACCATATTTTGAAATTGGCAGCCTTTTAGATCTGTGCGAAATTGGGCAAATTACTGATTTCTGACGTCTTTATTGGGTAGTTGAAGTGAATGGGCAGTTTCTTGTACTCAATTGACAGAATAGAAGGAATACTAGTGAAATAGCTATGAGTTTGGTAGACTGGAACAATGGAATAGGCCAAAAACAGGGTGTAAAGTGGGTGAAATCACCAATGCATAAATACTGCCATTGGGTTAAGTGTATTTTAATCTAACCACTCTGTAATCTGGCAAAATCACTAGTACGGCACCCTACAGGTCCCGATGAAGCCGGACACTCTAATATGGGCGTAAAGCATGGGTTTTAAATGTTGCAGCAAAGAGAACGCTGGAGGAAGTGGAGATGTTGTGTCTGAGGGCAATGTGTGAGGTGAATGTCATGCAGAGAATTCATAGTTTGGAGATCAGAAGGAAGTGCGGGTTTACTAAAAGTATTATTGAGAGGGATGAACTGGGGTTGTTGAGGTGGTGTGGATATTTAGAGGCAGTGGAGGAAAATAGGATGACTTGGAGAGAGTATAAATCTATAGTGTGGGAAGATAGGGTAGAAGTCGTCTTAGGAAAAGTGGGAGAGAGAGGATAAAAGAGGTTTCATAAGTGAAGGGCTTGGACATCCAATAGGCATGTGTGAGCATATTAGATAGGAGTGAGTGGAGTTAAGTGTTTTTTATGACTTAACATAAGTAAGCTTATTCAAGTAAACACAAATACAGTTACACAGATTATCATACATAGTAGCATATGTGTAGAGAACCTAGGATAACCCAAAAAGGTCAAAGTGACTTATTTCCATTGGGGTTCTTTTAATACCTTATTATTATACTATAAAGGAGATACTACGTAATGAAGGAGATAGACTAGGAATAAGGTAAAACGAGTTATTTATATTTACACGTGTGTTAGCTAATAAAATAAAAAGTCATTCTCTTCCCTTTCTGTCACTTCATTCATTAGGTACCTTTTGGCTCTCTTCTTGAACTGGTTCATGCTATGACTGGCTTTGACATGTGCAGGCAGTCTGTTCCATTCCTTTTTTGCTGTACAATAAAAGGTATTTGAAGCCTGGCCACAACTGTGGGTACTACAAAGTTGTGCTCTCTCCCTCTAGTACTATGATTGCTGCTGGAGTATGAGCAAGGTTAAATTTATGAAGGCATTCAAGGAAACCAGACTGAGTCCTAGAGATGGGAAGCACAGTGCCTGACATGAGTCCTAGAGATGGGAAGCACAGTGCCTGACATGAGTCCTAGAGATGGGAAGCATAGTGCCTGACATGAGTCATAGAGATGGGAAGCATAGTGCCTGAAGGAGGGGTGGTGATACTGCAGTTGAAGGAGCAACTGAGAAGTATTGTCATAATGCCTACAGCAAGACAAGTGATGGAATGATGGCTGAAGTATTTCTTCTTTTTCCCATTACCCTACTTTGGTGAGAGATAGCCAGTACATTAAAACAAAAACTGCTGAAATTAAGTGTTGAGACAGTGTCATAATTTAAAAAAAAAAAAAAAGAATCTTAGTGGTAGACAATCTTTTTTCTGATAGTAATGGCACTAAAAAAATATGAAAGGTGATGGCCATCTGGGTACAATTTATATATTGGCAATTTCACCTATTTTGACCCTTAAACTGTCCAAACACAGATCTACATTCACATGCGTAGTGCTCCAAAACTAGATCTACGTTTTTTTTACATATTTTCAAATACACGTATATAACAAAAAAGAAAAGTAGATCAAAGTTTTTTTTTTTTTTACACGCTTTCAAATGTAAAAAAAAAAAAAAAAGATCTACGATTTTTTTACATACTTTCAAATGATGAAAAAACGTAGATCTACGTTTGGACAGTTTAAGGGTTAAGACAATAACATTACTTAATTTGAACAAATTCTTAGCTATTGTGCTAGCATGCCTTCCATTCTATGGATTGAGCACAAAAAATACCCATTCGACTATCAGAACTATGCTATAGAGTGCACGGAAGTAATTTGGCCAATTTTACACAATATTCATTAAACTCCAATTTAAAAAATAAACCATGTATGAACAAAATAAACAATGTATGCATTCCAACCACTAAAGCAACCTATCCTCTGTTCATTAAACACATCCCCAGGCTTCTCCTGTAATATACTTACCCTCCATTTTGAATCACTCTCCATAAAAGAAATAAAAGATTTGCCCTATTTTCATAAATATAACTAGGAATGATCAGTCATGTTTTAGAGCATCCCAATAATTGACGATGACTAGTGAAAACCCATACAACAGGTAAATTGTCAAAAACATAATACAGTGGACCCCCGGTTAACGATATTTTTTCACTCCATAAGTATGTTCAGGTGCCAGTACTGACCGAATTTATTCCCATAAGGAATATTGTGAAGTAGATTAGTCCATTTCAGACCCCCAAACATACAAATACAAACGCACTTACATAAATACACTTACATAATTGGTCGCATTCAGAGGTAATCGTTATGCGGGGGTCCACTGTATTTCCACTAGCTTGAGCCCTATTTCAGTCCAGAAACCATTCTATTAAGTGATACAAAAAAAGGTCAATAAAACCATAAAAAACATCCTAGAAAACACCTAAAATCATTGTTTTCAAACAAACGCAAGATCCGATGTTTGCTTTACCAATCGTTCACCGTGTGGGGCAGGTTGTTTTTGTACACTTCCATGTCTCATATCTATACCAAAATTCATTACTCAAAGCATATTTGAGGGCACTTAAAACATAAATCAACGTGAGCAACACTGGCATTTATAACACAGATCTACATAACAGACAGCAAAAGGCTTAACACACATGCAGTAATGCACAAACTCAAGCCTGTGGCACTTTTACTTATATACAGAAAATGCAGAACCAGCAAGGAAGCTGAGAGAGCACAACAGTAAAATCCCAGCTCAATTAAATGGGGTTGCAGGGAATGAGCCACAGCTCCTGGCCCTGCCTCTTCACTGGTCACTACTAAGACCACTCTCTATAGCACCAAAACCCTTACTGTTTACATTTATGTGTCGGTCACATTACTGAGGGTCATGAGCCAGTGATATTCTGACATTTGTTTTGTAGGCTGAGTTGCATGATTCACTCTCTAGAGTACAGGAGGTACCAGTGATCATTCTCCAGAGTACAGGAGGTACCCCCAGTGAAAAGTAGGGGCACCAATAGTACACAAAGAGACAACACCCTAAGTGTCCGGGGCCCAAGACTGTTCAACAGCCTCCCACCATGCATAAGGAAAATTGTCAATAGGCCCCTGGCTGCCTTTAAGAGGGAGCTGGACAGATGCTCAAAGTCGGTGATGGATCAGCCGGGTTGTGGTTTGTACGTTGGACTATGTTCGACCAGCATTAACAGCTTGGTTGATCAGGCCCTGATCCACCAGGAGGCCTGGTTGGGGGCTGGGCCATGGGGGCGTTGATCCCCGGAATACCCTCCAGGGAGACTCCAGGTAGACCACTAATCACTTTCCAGAGTACAGGAGGTACCACTAATCACTCTCCATAGTAAAGGAGGTACCACTAATCACTCTCCAGAGTACAGAAGGTACCACTGATCACTCTCCAGAGTGCAGGAGGTACCACTAATCACTCCAGGGTACAGGAGGTACCACTAATCACTCTCCATAGTATAGGAGGCACCAGTAATCACTTTCCAGAGTACAGGAGGTACCACTAATCACTTTCCAGAGTACAAGAGGTACCAGTGATCACATATCAACGTAACAAAAAAAAGTACAGCTGTATCAGACTCTTACGAAATTAATAAGACGACAAAAATGTTGAATAATACTTGATAAAGATGTGTTGTACTTACCTACACACTAACCCTGGGAAGTCTCGTGTGAGGGTGAGGAGGAGGAAGACAATGAACCATTCATCTTCCAGTAAGTCTCCCACCACTGTTACACCACTCACGTGAGGACCAAGCACACCTATGTCAAAGACAAAGTATTCTGTATATCATTTGTGCTATATGTACAACATACAGTGTCTGCACTCTGAAGGAAGGGTGTTAATGTTACAGTTTTATAACTGTAGTGTAAGTGCACCTCTGGCAACACAGTGATGGAGTGAATGATGATGAAAGTTTTTCTTTTTCGAGCCACCCTACCTTGGTGGGAGATGGCCAATGTGTTACTAAAAAAAATAATGAAATACAACATACAGCATAACATATGACTCTACCTTGTTGGGAAATGGCTTGTGTGGTAAAAAAAGAAGATACATGTATATATACAGTACTGACTGCTGGATCACCATTCTCAAGAGCCATCTGCTGAATATTTTCTAAATTAATGGCTGCATCACCTTCATGCATGATAGCATCCCTTGTCACAAGGCCAAAAAAGTACCCAAGTAGCTTGCTGAGGAAAATATTGAGGTTCTATAGTGGCCAGGAAAAAGTCCAGACCTCAGTCAGTCCTATTGAGAATGCCAGGAATGTCATGAAAAAGAAGATGGAATCCTGCCACATTTCATCCGTATCATGTCTCAGCAGGAGATAAGGACATTTGGGTCAACCAGTTATCCATTGATTACTTCTGGAATCTGAGCGAAATCATGTCCAAAGAGCTTCAAATGGTCATCAAGGCCAGGGGTGGGGATACAAAAAAAATATTAATGTAAATACCAGATATTACAGCTTTCGTTGTATAATGTTTACATTGTCGCTTTGTAATGATTTTCATAACAATAAAAGGGAGGTCTGGATTGTTTTCGTGGGCACTGTATACATAGCATTAGGTCATGGCTGACAAAAGATAAGTGTATAATAAAATAAGCACAAGTTCTTAAAATTTAACTGTCATCTTACACCTTCGATATATTTCTACCAATTTTTGTTTATGTGCTGTCTCTTCTTTTTGGCATTATTGCTGTCATAATAATAAGTTCTATTACTCAGAATGATTAGTCTGCTTAATAACCTTATCTTTGGGCAACTTTGCTATGTTACATTTAGCATACAAATAAACTATGTTATAAAAATTATTTTTAAATAAGTCATGTGTAAACTTAAGTCTTCCTAATATGAACTGCATAATTATGGGTTTTTAACCAGTAAACGGTCCAAACATATATATACGTTTTTTCAACATTTGAAAGTACAGTGGACCCCCGGTATTCGATATTAATCCGTTCCTGAGAGCTCATCGAATACCGATAATATCGAGAACCGAATCAATTTTCCTCGTAAGAAATAATGGAAATCAAATTAATCCGTGCAAGACACCCAAAAGTCTGAAAAAAAAAATTTTACTACATGAAATATTAAGTTTAATGCAATAGAATAATTACAATAACAATAAAATAATTGACACTTACCTTTAATGAAGATCTGGTGATGATTGACGGGATGGGAGGAGGGGAGAGGTGTTAGTGTTTAGAAGGGAAATCCCCTTCCATTAGGACTTGAGGTAGCAAGTCCTTTTCCGGGGTTACTTCCCTTCTTCTTTTAATGCCACTAGGACCAGCTTGAGAGTCACTGGACCTCTGTCGCACAACAAATCTGTCCATAGAGCTCTGTACCTCCCGTTCCTTTACGATTTGTCTAAAATGGGCCACAACATTGTCATTGTAATAGTCACCAGCAAGGCTTGCAATAGCTGGGTTAGGGTGATTTTCATCCATAAAGGTTTGCACTTCAACCCACTGTGCACACATTTCCTTAATTTTTAAAGTAGGCACAATGGAGTCCACAACTGGCATAGGCTTCTCAGGGTTAGCCCCAAACCCTTCAAAATCGTTCTTAATTTCCATACTAATTCTCACCCTTTTTACCACAGGGTTGGCACTAGAAGCTTTCTTGGGGCCCATGGTGACTTATTTTGCAGAAACAAGCACCAAACACAGTGATAATATGGATAATATGGAATGCACCAATGTATCCTTAGATGCACGCACACTGGCTGGCTTGTAAACACTGGCACACACAGGGCAGTTCAGGCCACACGTGGACAGGTCTTGTACGAATCGTATCGAATACCGGGTTTTCAATCGAATACTGAGGAAATTTTTTTGCGATATAATGCATCGAATACCGGATTTATCGAATACCGATGCCATCGAACACCGGGGGTCCACTGTATGTAAAAAAAGTAGATCTTCTTTTTGTTTTTCTACATTTGAAAATGTGTAAAAAAAATTTTGATCTACTTTTTTTTTGTTATACAGTGGACCCCCGCTTAACGATCACCTCCCAATGCGACCAATTATGTAAGTGTATTTATGTAAGTGCGTTTGTACGTGTATGTTTGGGGGTCTGAAATGGACTAATCTACTTCACAATATTCCTTATGGGAACAAATTCGGTCAGTACTGGCACCTGAACATACTTCTGGAATGAAAAAATATCGTTAACCGGGGGTCCACTGTATTTGAAAATATGTAAAAAAAAGCTTAATCTACTTTTGTAGCACTACACATGTGAACGTAGATCTGCTTGGACCGTTTATGGGTTAAATGTATGATACAACCAATGTTCAATGAATCTCTGTAATACAACTGTATCCTTGTGCAGAATATACTTTTCTTTTTTGAATAATAATACTATACAGTACACTGAACAAAGTTTATCAAAGCTATTTCATTAAGTCATAATAAGTGCTACTCTACTTGTTATTTTTTTTTTTATTATCACACTGGCCGATTCCCACCAAGGCAGGGTGGCCCGAAAAAGAAAAACTTTCACCATCATTCACTCCATCACTGTCTTGCCAGAAGGGTGCTTTACACTACAGTTTTTAAACTGCAACATTAACACCCCTCCTTCAGAGTGCAGGCACTGTACTTCCCATCTCCAGGACTCAAGTCCGGCCTGCCGGTTTCCCTGAACCCCTTCATAAATGTTACTTTGCTCACACTCCAACAGCACGTCAAGTATTAAAAACCATTTGTCTCCATTCACTCCTATCAAACATGCTCACGCATGCCTGCTGGAAGTCCAAGCCCCTCGCACACAAAACCTCCTTTACCCCCTCCCTCCAACCTTTACTAGGCCGACCCCTACCCCGCCTTCCTTCCACTACAGACTGATACACTCTTGAAGTTATTCTGTTTCGCTCCATTCTCTCCACATGTCCGAACCACCTCAACATCCCTTCCTCAGCCCTCTGGACAACAGTTTTGGTAATCCCGCACCTCCTCCTAACTTCCAAACTACGAATTCTCTGCATTATATTCACACCACACATTGCTCTCAGACATGACATCTCCACTGCCTCCAGCCTTCTCCTCGCTGCAACATTCATCACCCATGCTTCACACCCATATAAGAGCGTTGGTAAAACTATACTCTCATACATTCCCCTCTTTGCCTCCAAGGACAAAGTTCTTTGTCTCCACAGACTCCTAAGTGCACCACTCACCTTTTTCCCCTCATCAATTCTATGATTCACCTCATTTTTCATAGACCCATCCGCTGACACGTCCACTCCCAAATATCTGAATACATTCACCTCCTCCATACTCTCTCCCTCCAATCTGATATCCAATCTTTCATCACCTAATCTTTTTGTTATCCTCATAACCTTACTCTTTCCTGTATTCACTTTCAATTTTCTTCTTTTGCACACCCTACCAAATTCATCCACCAATCTCTGCAACTTCTCTTCAGAATCTCCCAAGAGCACAGTGTCATCAGCAAAGAGCAACTGTGACAACTCCCACTTTATGTGTGATTCTTTATCTTTTAACTCCACGCCTCTTGCCAAGACCCTCGCATTTACTTCTCTTACAACCCCATGAATAAATATATTAAATAACCACGGTGACATCACACATCCTTGTCTAAGGCCTACTTTTACTGGGAAATAATTTCCCTCTTTCCTACATACTCTAACTTGAGCCTCACTATCCTCGTAAAAACTCTTCACTGCTTTCAGTAACCTACCTCCTACACCATACACCTGCAACATCTGCCACATTGCCCCCCTATCCACTCTACTTGTATCTTAGTAAAATTGTAAACTTTTTAAGTGTTTTGTGCTTGAACAACAAGTGTTGTCATCATATTTGGGTGATCAAGATTGGTAATAATGTTGGTAAAATTACCAACAATATGTTAGGTTAAAGGACACAAGTGCAGCTAATGCAACATTTTATCGTGGCAATGTTTCACTCTGTCAAGCCATAATGGCTTGACAAAGCTCCTGGAGAGTGAAATGTTGCCACAATAAAATGTCACATTATTTGCACTTGTGTCCTTTTACTTAACACTGAAGACTTGTATATATATTAAGTCTTCTATCCAAGCACAGTACACTATTCCCATGCTTTATGTGGGTTCATTGCACGAGATTACGTTTGTATCTGGTGACCCTGTTTCTACCAGGAATTCATTGTATGTGGGTCATATTCACTCTCGTGCAATCTGGAGTGGGTGGTCACTGTGACTTTGCATGCATCACTGTGGTCATTGTGGGAGTGATACCATGTATCATCACAATGGACATGGTTTGCTGAAGGTAGTGTTCAAGTATCAGCATCTATGTATGACATTCCTTGGGTGCTTGCTACTGCAGGTATGATTATAGCTTCTCAGTATCATACCAAGACATCTCCTAGCCATGATGCACAAGAAATTCAAGATCTCTTCTCTAATGTGAGATGAAGCTGGAGATTTTAGAACATGATGTCTGTGAGGGGTAAACTGTGTTTGTGAATAAATTCACTATTGGTGAGTCACCCATTTACTCCGCTAAGAATGCTCAAAGCATCAGAAGCTCTGTAATGCAGTCTATGCCATTTAGAACTTTCACTGTTGCAACCCCAAAAATTACAAGTGCTAATAGTGTTGCAATGTAAAAATAAATAGGAATGAGTGGAGGCAAGAAGTTTTTATGACTTGACATGCTATTGGAGTGTGCGCAAGGTGACATTTATGAAGGGATTCGGGGAAATTGGTTAGCCAGACTTGAGCTGTGGAGGCGGTAAG